GATAGTAATAATTCTTACCTAGCTCTCTTCAAAGTTATATATTTAACATCCTTCAAATAATATCGTTTTTTAGTAACCTTTTTAAGTTCGTCTTTTGCGGAATCATATAATTTATTCCAGAATGTAATAAAGGTATCAAAATTCTCTGAAACCTTTTTCTTTAAATCCTTTTTCTCTGAATCCTTTTTCACTAAATCCTTTTTCTCTGAACCCTTTTTCACTAAATCCTTTTTCACTGAACCCTTTTTCTCTAAATAATTTTTTGTTTTAAAGAATTCATCTCTCATCTTTACCCAATCATCATACCATTTCCCCGCTTTATATTCGAACTATAAAAATATTAAATTATAAATTAAAATTTTATAAATCTTTTAAAATATATATATTAAAAATTATATATTATAGATATTTTAAAATATTATATTAGTTACATTAATTACTTACAGTTGCAATTTTAGCCACGCTTCCCAAAGCTCCAATATACTCTTTAGTGGCAATCAAAGCAGCTGCTTCAGCGAAATGTTTACTAATCCGAGTAGTCACTTCCATATTAGTTTCATCACTCTTAATTTTCTTTAAACAATTTCTAATCTCTCGTAATGAAAAAGTGATGCTTGGATTAGTTCTGTATTTAATCTTTTGAGATACATTCCAAAATTTAGCAACACTATCATATAACTGGCCACGAATAGATGTTTCTAACATTGATACTTTTGAAGCCAAATGAACTAGGGAAGACATGGCTCGTCTAAAATGGAAAACGCAAACAAAATAAAATTCTTTAATTATCTCTCCCACAAAATACACAAATTCTTTAATTATCTCTCCCACAAAATACACAAATACAAATAATCTTTCCTGTTATATAAATAACTTACAGAAGTAATTCTAATTCAGCAGTAGCTTCATTATATGCTTTAATTTCGTGGTTACCAAGGTAAAGGGCAGATTGGATTACGAATTTTTGTACTATATTTTCAAAAAAAATTTTAAGAACAAAGAAGAATAATATAACAATGATAATAAATATAAATAATGAACATACGCATTTCTGTAGTAACGTCATCATCTGAATAAATATCAGGTTTTTCCATTAAATAAATAATTTTGTGTAATATTAAATTTTGATCCCTAAAAATAAATATTATATTAATTATATTAATTATATTAATTATATTAATCATCTTATATTAATTATCTCGAATATAGCCACAACTTTATAATTGTATCTTATAGATATTTTTTATACAATATAAATACTTACATTTGATTAGCATGAGCTAATTGATTTATAATTTCTTGAAAATTTCTCACCGAAGACCTAGCATTCATACTACTTTCAACATTAAATTTTTCTCCTTCCTCCGAAGAGACAGAAGAAGAAAAGATAGAAGAGGAAGAGGAAGAAGGATAATCTTCTTTACTATCTTCACTACTGGTATTAAGGACATTTTGAGGGGCAGTAATAGTATTAGAATTTGTTGTGGAAGAATGACTATTACTTCTACTAGGAACTAAAGAATTTTGTTTATCCGAACTATCAGTAAAAATATCGAAAAAACCGAAACCCAATATTTTATTATGCTTTTTAGTTCGGGTTGACATCTTTGGTTTGGTACTTTTGATTATTTTGAAAGGAAATTTTTGTATTTATTTAAATAATTTTTTTTTTTTTTTTTAAATAAATAAAATAAATAATATATATGCTATATGCAAAATGAAATATTTTTTCATTGTAAAAGAATTATCAAAGGCCTTTTATCAATTATTTGTTAAGTTGTTATTCAGGGTACTCCGGTACAACCTTAAGTAAGTAAAAAGGGAAAAAATCTATAAAAATCTATAAAAACGACGGAGTATTCAAGCATACATTCACAACACATATCTTCATGTCCTTTTAAGCCAATCATATCTACTGCTTTAGAATAAAAATAATAAAAATAGAATAAATGGAATAAAATAAAGTTATTAAATCTATCTTCTTTTTTTCGAAACTACGCCGATTAAATTGTGTCATTATTTATATACCCTTTTTTAAATTTGGTTCGTCTTTTTTACACACGTTGGTAACACCACTTCATTTTACCATGGGAAAATGTCATTGAAATTTTTCTTTCTTTCTTTCTTTCTCTATTAAGCAAAGAATTCAATTTATATAAAACAGTTGATTAAGCATAATTTTTTTAACCGAGAATAATTTATTAATGATTTTAAACCAATAATTAAATTGTTGTGATTAGAATAACTAATATATTAATTTAAATTCATAACTATAATATAATTATATAATATCTAAAAATAAATTCACTTGCACAGTGTATATATTGTTTATATTTTACATTATGTACATTTTCTTGCTTTCAAAACAAAACATCGTAAAATCCGGTAATAATACACAACATAATAGAAACTAACCTAGTAATGAACAATATGTTTTAATGATTCTCAATAAAGGATTTTCAAAAAGGGAATTAAATTAAAAAAAAAAAGTTTGAAAAACAAGGTTATTTCTAATCTTGTAAAATTATTTTAGTACCAATTTTTAAAACATTTCATCAGTAGTTCAAATAATAAAACAAAATAATTCACCCTAAACATTTTTTAATTAGATAATTTCTTAAAATTATTCGTTTTCCCTTATTAAGGCATAATGAACTCTCAAAAGCCGATGTTAGATCACGTGCATAAATTTCTTTAACAACAATGTTATTTCTGTGCATGCAGTAATTTAATCACGTGAAACAATGTAATTAGAAATTGTTAAGTGTTATGCATAAGAGGATAATTAAAGGATATTAAAAAACACTTGGCAAGGAACATTTTTATAATTATTCAATTTTTGGCAATCATAGTTATTAACAAACATTACATTAAAGACATTTTACAAAAAAAGAAATAATTAATTATCTTTGCACATGTTACATTAAAAATAAAAGCATTGAATATATCAAAAAAACATTTAAAAACATTACATTAAATATATTATTAACAAAGATCGTTAAGGTTGCACAGAAAAGAAAACGATTTGCAAATTCTCTATTTCTCTTGTCTTCTTGGGACTTAAATTTACACTAGTTCCAAATTTATTTAATGTTTTGATCTATACCAAAATTAACTTATAGTTTTAATTAATCAATTTTGCCAAGGAATTATTCTAGGCACGTCAAATTTTAAGCGCGAGCGATTTATGGTAAATTTGTAAATTGTAGCGTTTATTAGTAATTAGCCAAGTGAATTTTTTGATAACTTTATTCTGAGGTCCGCATAAAAGGTTCGGCCTGCATAACATGCATGATATAAATAATCTTTTTACGTAGTATTTGAACCCAAAAAAAGAGTTCTACCATGTGATTCGAATTTTAAATAGGTATGTTCAATTTCAGAAATATTTAAAAGACATTTGTACATATTCGTGCATATTTGACAAAAAAAAAAAATGTCTAAGAAATCTAAAGAAGAATCATCCTGGTTTTTCAAATCTCAAGAAATATCAATAACTTTATCTTTTACGCCATTTGCAGCATTATCATTTTTAGCGTTACTTTTATCATTATTAATTGCTTATTATAAATACACTGAAATATTATATTATGATATATACGTAAATGATAATGATGATAAAATTTCTTGGATAAAAATTGCTAATAAATATGAAAATGAATACATCAAGAATACTGATGAGGAAAACATTCCATTGGATAATGGAGCATTTGTTTATCGACATATTTACATGGATGAATTTAAAAGTGAATTTAATATTGAACCAATTAATTTTACTGTAAGTTAAACCTATCATATTTTCTTTATTTTTAGTATCATCTTTTTTTGCATATATTCATATTATTAATAATAATAATATTATTATTATGTATTTATATATTTTTTAATGTAAAAAGATAATTGACCCTTCAATAGCTGATTTAATAAAAAACCATAATTTAACATATCGCCTAAGAAATAAATCAAAAGAAAATTCCGAATTAATTGAAGAAATATTTAGATATACAAAAATTTATTCCTCTGTGGTAGAAGATATTAAATATAAAGTTGGTAATGGAACTTATGTAGATGATAGAAGAGTTTATGTTAGGTGGGTTGATGATTTCTTTAGATTCGGTTTGTTCGCAGGAAGAGAATTTAATAAAGGAGATGTAATTGGTGTTTATGCTGGTAATCTTTTTTATTATTATTACCATTCTTCTTCTTTCCTTTATTTATTTATCTTTCTATGATTGATTTTCTTTAATTGATTTTCTTGAATTGGTAGGAATAATCACTTTAGCTGCTGCTGATAATGAATATGGTATTGAAAAGTATTTGATAATTTGTAATCTCTATACATTTATATCTTCCTAATACATATATTTTTATTTCAACATAATAGCCTGGGAATTTAATTATATTGTGGATGTAAAAGACGATAATGGAGAAAAAATTCATGTTTGTGTTAATGCAAAAAATTCCGGAAATTATTTGCGGTTTGCCAATCATCTCGACAGTAAGTATTTATATAAATATTGTGGTTGAGTGTGTTGAGTAAGTGTTGTGTGCGTTGTGTGTGTTAATTATATTTATTCATAGATGAAAGAAATGGAGATCAGATTTATATAGTTTACGATGATATTTGGTATATACTTTACATAGCTCAAGAACGCATAAAGGTAATTATTTCCTCCTGAATTATTGTTATACATTTTTTTTTTTTTAAAAAAAAAGAAATTTATTAATAAGAATTAATCATATTCTATTCTATATCTTTTAAATTCTTTAATTATAAAAATAACTTATTATCACATTTAATTATTTAATTCAGCCACATGAACAAATATTTGTTTATTATGGTTCTGAATATTGGGCCGATAGAGAAAAATATTAGTATTGTATTAATTTAGATAATAAATCTTATGGGAAGTACCTAAAATTCAATAAGAATATTTATTAAATAAAATAAAGTTTAAGACCCAACTAGACTTTTTGTTTATAACCATCAAACCCGAGATCTAACCCATCAACTCCATCTTACCCAGTATCACCATAAAAATTTTCTAAATGCATGGGTTAGGTAAGGTTTATCAGGGGTAGAATATTTATCACCGTGTGTCACGCCGTTCGAATATCGATTTTATTTGTCATTCACTAGCATTTATCACACGAACTACATGTGATGTTTTTCTGATCACCTGTTAAATTATGGACCAATAAAATTTTAAAATTCACTGGGTAAAATTTTTTATGGGGGTAAATCATCAACTTCACTTATTTCTAATTGTTTAATGTTATTTTGTCTTGTTAACTAACAAAGAACAACTTTAACTAGTAGTCAAACGTTTATTATCTAATATATTCTATTAACTTTATTAAGAAGCAAACATTTGTGTAATGAGATAATCTGCCAATCGGCGATATGTATAATCTATAAATATCTTTGCGCACTTGTGCATCGCATTTCAATGATAAATAGTACTAGTGCGATAATCTCAAGAAATTAGGTAGAATGAAAAATTAATTGAAGTTTTTTGATAAAAGAGTATTATTAATGGGTAAAAATGTTTATACCGCTTTAAGTGAACAAGAAGAATATTTCAAATAGTTGTAAAAAGTGTCGTAATCAATTATGACATATGGCGCAACTCTTTTCCGCCGCAGTATTTACATATAAAAAATCGGGGTTATGATTAAATCATCTGTTGGGCGCAAAAGTATTGTAAAATAAAAAAAAAATTGATTTTTCAGCATATAAGAAAGTTACGACCGTAAACGAATCAGAATCTAAGATAGATCATATTAAGTCGTAATCCGTGAAAGAACGGCACTACTGTCTGTTTATATTGTTTATATTTTATATATGTAAGTCCAAATCTATAGCTGCTACAAAGAAAAATATTTTTTCGCCAAGTTTGATAATTTATTTTGTCAAATCATGTTCTTGTACATTTTTGTCACATGAATTGGTAAATCTGTGATTCAAGAATACCTAAATTAGAAAATCAATCATATAAAAAGATTTGGCAGACGATAATTCTTGTATTAATAGGAGATGAGTCAAAATCAGCCCATATGGAACAAAAATTAGATTCAAACCCTCGGAGGATGCAGACGCACAAGGATGAAAAACTTCTTAAGGTTTTAAATAAAATTATGAAAAAAAAAAATACATAGATAAAAACAATGTTTATGACATTTATGCATTTATGCATTTTGCTTTTCATATAGGCGCATTTGATTCATCAACTAATGATTGGTTATAAAGTAACATGTTTATCATTAATTAAAGTTGTTCTTTAATATCAAAACTAAATGAAAAACATAAAAAACATAATAAAACAACTTTATTGTGCAATAGATATGAAATAAAATGAGTTGACGCAAGTTTGGGTTTGGGGGACGATGGATTAGACGGTTGTATAGTCGGGACGTTTTTCGGGTTTAAAGCTTCCATTTACATAATAACCCGTCATAAAAATAGGCGAATATATGTTAAAATTCATGTTAACCATGTTTTGTTAGAAGCTAAAGTTTGTTTTATAATTTTATCTTTAAAACAGGCCAATCACATTTGAGATCTAGATCAAATAATAATTTTTGATTAGATAAAACCAAATGCACCCATATGTATTTATATTTGTTTATTTAATGAAAAATCAAAACTAAAAAAACTTTCTTGTTTGTTAATTAATAGACTTTGAATTTTGAAATTTTATTTTATATATGATTCTTTCATAGATTACAGATTATTGTTAGTTAATTAAATTCCATACACCTTCATTATCATCATTCTCCTGTTCTTCCTCTAATTTTATGGATACCAAAACATCCAACACTGCTAATCCGGCTATCGTTTCTAAATATTTTTTTCGAGAGGAATCAATGAATTCATCTGTTTTTCGATCTGCAAAAATCATCATTGTTGCTGCTGCTCTTATACTATTCTTCGGTTTTTTAATGGTAGTAATGATATTCTCATCGTATTTTATTTCAATTTCTAGATTTGTTTTGTTTTCATTCATTTTATCAATTTCATTAATTCTTTCTTTAGTTATTGACTTTTTTCTTTTAATAAGTAGTGCATCGTTAGAACATTTTGCTAAATGATACAGCATAAATGTTTCCATCTCCAATGATTCTGCTTGCGGATGTTTTTTCTTAATGTATGTAAGAAGTTCTTTGTTATGATCTGCAAAATTATCGTCCTCGCGACCTTGTGAAGAATAGAAACTATCACACGTCGCATTCAAACCAGTATGGATTTCATTGGCAGGAAGATAATTTAAAAGTTTTGTTTTTAACTGTTTAAAAAAAGCTAGAAAATTAGATAATTGGATAAAGAATTTTAAATTTTAAAAAGAAATGTTACATACAAGTTCGCAAATTTCCTGATCTGCATAAAACACTTCTGATACATTATACGGTTTCATATTTTTTTCTTCATTTTTAGTCATATCCGGATCTTCATAATAATTATAAAAATAGTCGAAATTCTTTGTAACAGCAAACGCACCTTTTGGCACAACCATATGTCCAACCGTACCTTTGCCGATAGTACCACATGAACCAAACCTAATTATTATTAATTGACCATCTACTGTAACCCTTGTTTCACGGACGAAAATATCCATCATCGGATAGCCCTAAAATAAATAATTATTAATAATAATAATAATCAAGAAATTTTAAGCGATCACTCCATAATAATACGAACCATTCCAATCCCCATAATGCTGACTGGTACACCTTTATATTTACCAGTGAGCGTAAAGAAACCTCGAGCGCTATTACATCTAAATATTGGAGTGTCTTTATCCAACCATTCAGCGAATAATTGAGCACGAGAGGGGTCGCCTACAGTTATTATTCTGTTGGCAACTATTTTATTTTTTTAGAAAAAAAATGTGTAAATTTGAAATCATGCATAATGAAAAAACAGTAATTTTTTTTTTTATTAATACATACCTTCACCTCGTTTGACTTCTACATGATAAACACGACCCTCTGCAGTTTTGGGAAAGTTGGCGTTTAATAATTTGTCTTTCATTTCAATTACATAAAAAAAAAATTAATCTTTTTTTTAAAAAAAATTCACCGAAAGTCATTAAATACATTTCTATCACTTGATGTAAATACATGTGATCAATATAACTACCTATTCGGTTGGTCGTGTGATAAAGGACAATATAAACAACACTTTTCGTGAAAATCATACGATGCCAATGCTAATAATGACGTTTGGAAAGACATTGTTGAAATCCTGCATACAAATTCTTCTTGAGTTTGCATGTTTGCATTAGATTACATATTTTTAGAATTTAGTTGGTTGAATGCTTTGGGAGCTAAAGTAACCAAATAAGAATTCAACTATTTCTCAATCAACCGCTTCTTCAAATGGTCTTAAATCTTTAAGCTGAACTTTTTCGTTAATTATTTACGAGTGATATACCCTTGCTACTAATATTGGCAATTTTATCATTCCAATTATCCGTCCAATTCAAAATGTGGCGCAGTTTTACTAAGTTCAATTGGTCCAATTGCCAACATTTCTTGCTATATCTATATTTTATTTTATGATTTAATATAAATTATAGGGAGAATAAGGTGAAATCTTAAACCCCAAATATTATTTATAAATAGAGAATGGGTAACAAGTGGCGTTATTTAAATGTGAAACAATATAAATAATTTCTTCTTCTTGTTAGAAAAATGACAATAATTATTTAATATATTGGATAACTTTAATATAAAACAAAATTAGGGGAAATAATTGAACCAGAAAGTTACCACTATTCAAATAATTAATGGAAATATAATTAGAATTTTTGGAAATTATATATGATGAAGTCACACGCAAAGTAATTTAGAAATATCATTCGATCCAAGTGATGATCTTTCGTTAAGATCACGAGGGAAAACTCAAATTAAACAGTATAATTAATTTGGTGAGGGTATACCATTTCAAGCTATAAATGATGCACATAGAATTTCTAAAGTCGAGATGGGCAATATTCTATGATGCCATTACAATGGAAATGTGATAAAAATAATGAATGGATGCTTTACTTAATAATAGTGTTACGTTAAAGTTTATGAATGGCTTGCTTCAAGTACACATAATAAATCCATTCGGCCACGCTCGATTTAACAATATAAAAAATGTCCATATTGTTCCAGAATCAGGTGCCAAATTTAAAATTGTAAGATCCCCTATACCAGTGTGGCTGAAACTATTACACTCTTTCTGTAGTAAAATTATAACAAGTTACAGTATAAATTATTTTTATCATAAATGCAAGGATAACTTAATATTTAAAACATTAGATCTATAAAGCTATAAAAAGCTAATATTAAAAAAAAAAAGATCTAAAGAGACAGGTTTTCAACTTCCAGAAATTTCAAAAGATATAAAGATTTATAGATTATTCAAAAAAAAATAAACATAGATAAAATTAAGTACCTTAAAGCATATAGTGCAAACTCTATTTCAGAATTGACCAACGAAAGATCATCTAATTATAATGAATCAGATATAGAATGATAATATATGTATTGATTAATCAAATAGCAAACAAAATATTCAAAATCCGATTTATATATACAAGATTGTATAAAGAACAATTTATATTATCTTCCTCCGCCCATTTTTGACATTACTCTCCATGTAATCATCATTATATTCAACATATATCGGTTTTGATAATTTGAAATTCCGTTTTTCTTGATCATCATAAAAACATTCCAATATCTCGCATCTGTAATAATTCCGAACACTTTGTTCACAGATCTTTCTTCTCCTATCTCATCAGCCTTACGCTTGCGATTTGACAAAACTGATTCAATCTAAACGGCATTCTGAGCAACGCCCTTATTAAAATCTTTGCGCTCGACTCCAACAGTCTATTACGAAATCAATTGTCCCATGCCCATTAGATCCCGTGATGTTTCTTTTAAATTTGCACCAGAAAGAAGGTACGAAAACATATAATGTGATTTTGATGCTTCATTTGCATGGATTGGGGCAGATTCTAGACGAACTTTTAATTCTGAGAAAGAACGTTAAAGTATTGCCTATGATGATTCATCCCTTAAATCTTTGCATCCACAAGTGAAAAGTGAGAACATGTCCAATGTTGGATCATCTCCACTTTCACAAATTCCATAGAGCCGGCACACCTCGGGGAACGTCCAATCCGCGAAGGGTCTTGAGGGAGTTGATACTGTATAATTTGAATTTTCTTTTGAAATGAATCTCTGAAGCATAGTGTGAATTCTTGATCATTTTTTGGAAAATATTTTTCTTCTTTGCTATACTTCCATATGCAAATACAAGTATTGCAGAATAACTACCCTCTAATGCTGGTGACAATTTTCTGTCCTTTATGTCATCCTTTAGATTACAAGAGTTGCTTCGTCGATATTTGCGATCCACTTGAATTCATTTACCATCTTGGAGTGATAAACTCTACAACATATTGATGGGTTAATAAAAAAAAAAACTCAATGAAGAATTACCGACTCAGCAACATGATAAAATAAGACAAACCTTGAATTTGCATGTCAGAAACCGATCCTCGCACGATTGAGACCTCCCGACTGATATTGGAAATTTGGGTTACTGGATTATGATATTAATATGTTCCTCACCAGGCGAGTCAGGAAAATATTTAGAAATCTTTCTCGCTGCACGAAGTTAATCTCTTTCTTGAAGTGAAAGAGTGTTTAATAGATCCTCTCTATCTTCAGGTATTTCCACCTTCCATAACTGGAGTTTATCAACATTAACGCTAGCGAAATCATTAGGCTTCTTCATCTTGATAACTTTCTTGAGATCATCAATAGTATCACCTTTGCTGATATTGACAGAAAAAGCGTGTTTTACTGAGTTCCCTTTAATAAGGCAGAAAAGCTTGATTGACATTGTGAGTTATTGTGTATATGCAATTTTATTAAAGCAAATGAAGTAAATGCTGTATTTTGAGAAATGAATTTTTTAGATTAATTGATAACATTGCACGAATAACAATAATAAAGTTCGGATCTTATTTTATAATACACTACGTAATAAGATAGAAGTGTAGGGCAGGAACATAGAGGGAGGAATAAAGCATATTATCTATACCCGCCAAATCCTAAGCCCCTTTACATAGTAAAGAATGGCATCGTCTAAATTATATTTCTGCTATTGTTATTTGAAAAATTATTTCGCGGAGAAGCTCTACTGCTAATGACAATGGATTCGTCTCTTTTTTGATTTACTTTTTCAACCCAATCCTCAATTTTGTCGAACTGAGACAGATAATTGTACATTTTGTTAATAAATTATTGGCGATCACGGACCGTCTTTGTCCAGGCATAAAAAGTTTTTCTTTTATCCCAAATTAAAATAAAAAAATCTGTTATTAAGAAATTTTTTATTAATAGAAAGACACAAATAAATTTCGTCCCAGAAATATCTTATGTTCAAAAATTTACAATCGAAGTTTTATTCGTAATTTTTTACTTAATAATAATATTTGGAAATAATCAAGAAATTGGGATTATAGAAAAATTACTAAAAGAAATATTATTATTTTATTATACATATCAACCAAAGATTTTTCTTGGTAAAAAGGGAAACTTCAACCTTAAAATCTCAATAAAAAGAATTTAAAATGGGTGCATGTTTCTTTTATAAACATTTCTTAAATGGGTTTCATAGAAATCGAGCATCTATATTTTAAAAAACATTAAAATCCATCAATGCAATAAATATATAAATTCATTTTTTTTTTTTTTTTAATATTTTATTTACCTTTTGTGGTGCATATTTGTTTAATATATTAATTGGTTCAACTGATCTATGACCTGATTTCCTAATAATTTTTTTAATAAAAAGAATAACTTTAATCAAATTAAAATTTAATAATGAAATAAATAAAATAAAAAAAAGAAATAAAATTTATAATTACCAAGTTAAATAAACGATTAATCCATGTTTTGAATCCTTTTCAATAGATTCAATCTCAGCAATATCTCTTTCCCAATTATTGGAAGTCCAAACATTACAATCTATCTCAATATTCAAATCGGCATTAGAATGATTAGCAATTTCTTCACTTTCTTCATCCTCTATAATCAAATCACTTGATTGTGTATTTTGACTATTTTTCTTTTTTGTCCATTTCTTATTATTAATTTTATTAATTACGCTTTCATTTCCATTTTTGTGATGTTTATCATTCTGTGCATCGTGATTTTCTTTTGCAAACAAGGTCTTTTTTTCACATGTGCTTTTTTCATCTAAACTATTATATCGACGCCTTTTCACTCTTGGTTGCCACCACTCATCATCATCGTCATCTTCATAATTTGTATTAAAAGTTGATTGCTGATCATCTATGGAAATAATTTTAAATAAATATAAAATATTCATAAAATATTCATAAAATTATTAAATTGTTACCTGATTGAGATTGAGAATTGGATGAATTTGATTCAATTTCCCAGGCTGGAACAAAGTTTTCACTACCGCAATTATCATCATTTTCACTTTTATTATTTTCATTTGTAATTGACTGCGAATTGCGTGAAGAAGAAGACCATGTCACAATTAAATCTTTATTGTATTCAGTAGATTCAACTCGATTTTGCTTTTCTTTATAACAAAATATTATGTTGAAACATATTAATCATCAAAGAAAATATATATATTTATATATAATATTTAAAAAATAATGAATAAATTATTTATTGAATTCGTTTTTTATAGAAAGATACCAATATCCTTAATTTCTTCCTTATCACTACTGTCATCCGAGAGTTCGATAATCAAATTATCCATGTTCTCGTTATGATTTAAATAAAAAATAAGAAAGATTATTTGAATAAAAAGAAATTTTTAAAAAATATTTATTCAAATATCATATTAAAAGAATGAATAAACATATAAAGTTATTATTTAGTAAGATTGAAAATATAATAAATATAATAATAAATATAATAATAAAATATAATATTACTTTAAACTTTATTAGTCATCACATAAAATAAAATATTTTTATTAATATATAATTATTTGAAATTAAAATTCGAATTTACTTTTTATCTTATTAATAAATTTCTTTGACAAATGTGTAAAGTATCTCTCAAAAAGTTAACAGTTTTAATTTTCTTTGATTGCGATATGTATTATCTCCATATTTTCAATTTTTTTTTTATTTTTATTCAACGGAGTCATGCCGTATTAAACTATTAACCTAACCGCCAGACCCATCGTTGCCTTACCTATACAACTGATGGTCATGCTACCGCCCCATCCCTTTTCGACCAATCTGAGCAAAAAGTTGCTGATTTCCATATTTTTTTTATTTTTTTTTTTATTTTTTTTTTAAATAAAACAAAAGTTATAAACCAGACCAGTAAGAATAATAAATGTTCCCATGTATTATTTGTATCTCAATGCTCAAATAGTAATTTGTAATTGTTAACCGAATAAAGAAATTTTGTATAAGGCATCACGCGTAAAAATTTCCTATAAATTACCTAAGGGGTAAAGATTTGACATCATTTATGTTCAAGTATTGTTCTATTTTGTATTAATCAGTTTTAAAATTTTTTAAATAAAAAAGTAAATATATTTTTATTTTTTCCCTTAAAATTTTTTCTTTAAAAAAATTAAATTTAAATGCTATTAATAAATCAATTAATTACTAATTCTGTTTAAATATATATTTTTTTTTAGTCTTAACATTCCTTTATACTTTATTTCGGGTGTCTTATTTTTCATAATCTCCTTTTTTTTTATCACCAACTTCCTTATTAACCGTTGAAACCAAAAATGCAAAGAGATTCAGGGTTCGCTGATATTAATGCATTTTCTAATCATTCAAATGTTTTTAATTGTGATTACCCTCAACAAAATTCACTTACAGAAGAAGGTGTTAATGGACCACCATTATCGTTACATCGTCATTTCACCAGTCGAAGAATATTTATTGGTCCAACTCCAATAAATTGGAATTATAAAAAGAAATCAATTTGGTTTTCAAAAAATGATCAATGTCATCAAAAAAAAAGTAATGGAAAAAGAAGGCAAAAAACTTTTATAGTTGAACCTGGGACCATTGGACCTTCAAATATGTCATCACTTGATTTTCATATTCCAGAACAACCACAACAAAAACAACAACAATGGAAAGGAGAAGGAGAAGGAAATTATAATGAACGAGAACGTGAAAATGATGAAGAACAAGAATATGAACGAAATTATAAAAGGTAAAAACATTTGTTATGAAATTAAATATTATTATTATTATAATATTTTAATTGGTATTTTAATGATACATTATTCTCAGATATTTCAAAGATGAACAACGTTTTGTCAGTGAACCAATGGAATTGGTTCCTTCTGATAATACGCAAGAGAATGAAAATTTTGAAGATGAAATATTTCACACACCAAATGAATTTCTTTCACCAGTTCCTATTTCACCACCACCACCAACACATGATTATCTAACAGCAACACATGATTATCTAACAGCATCACATAATTATTCAACAACATCATCACATCATTATTTTACAGCCATGTCACATAATTATTCATATAATTATTTAACATCATCATCACATAATTGTTTAGAATCAAACACTTTTGATAAGGGTAAACAATCAACTCAACATTTAAAATCACCACCACCAATGATAATAGAAATTCCTTCAGTGGAAGAAGAAAGATCAGATGAAGATGACACAGAATTAACAAATATAGTAAAATCACCAATATCTTTAACTTCTGATGAAATTTCAGTTACAAATTCCGATATGAATTCAATTTCAAATTTCGATATGAATTCAATTACAAATTCTAATGTTAATTCGGTTGCAAATTCTGACACAAATTTGGTTATGGAATCTTTTGATAAATCTAATAAATCTAAATATGAACCAGGAACAGTGATTAAAGAAGATCGTATGTTAGTTAAATTTGAACGAAATCCTCATTTGGGGACATCAATTTCTAATCATTGTTCTAGGCATCAATGTCAATCCACAGAATGGAAAGAATATATAGTGAAATTGAAACCTGAACGAATAGAATTTTATAAAGGAAAAGTAAGTTATTATATATTTCTATTTTTTTTTTCATTTTTATAATTCATTTTTATAATTATTTATTGTTTTTTTTTTTTGATGATAAATGTTTGATAATAATAATTTTTTCTAATTAATTAATTATTTAATTAATTAATTATTTATTTATTTATTCATTTGTTAATTATTTATTAATGAAAATAATATATCATTATTTAGAAAATTCGAGTGAAAAAATTTATATTTTCATCAAAGACGAGATTTACAATATATTCAACACTTGATTTTACATTATTACTCACGAATCCTGCTGAAGATGAAAAGAAAATAGTAGTAATAATTCGACCCAGAACAAATTCTTTAAGTGTTGAATGGTATCGAATTCTTAAAGGATTATTTTCATTCAAAAAGATTCCAAATGTGTGTGAAGTTAAGGTACCAGATTTAGATGTACGAATTCAAATACCATTAATTAACGAAGAGCAAGCAAATAAACTTACTGTCAAAGAAATAACAAAAGTAGCTTTGAATGAATTATTGGAACTCGAAGAATGGGAAGAGATATTAAAAAATAATAAAAATAATGATCTGAGATTATGTTGGAAGAGATATGATAGATTAGAATGGATTGATTGGGAAAAAAATGAAAATCGATTATTAAATTGTCCACAATTTATTGAAGGGGTAAATATATAAATCTAATTTTTCATATTTAATTTTTATATATAAAATTTTTACAAGTAATTTTTTAGACACATCAATTACAAATTCGTTTCGCTCAACATTATCCATCATCAATTATATTATGTGATGGATCAACAATGATGGTAAGTAATTAATTAATAATAATAATTATTCAACATTTATTTATTTATTTCATTATTTCATTATTTATTTATTTCATTTAATAATTTAGGAACCTCCACCTACCGAAGGATATCTTGTCAGGTAATTCAAAAAAAAAAAAAATAAAATAATAATCTTAATTATTTTAATTAATAAATAATATTTTAACAATAATAATAATTTCATATTACAGAATTACAAATAACAAAGGAAAAAGGAAAAAATCCAAAAGATTATATTTCACCACTCATGATTATTATCTATTTTTCCTAAAATCATCTGATGCCTCTCCACCACCACCACCATCATTACCATCATTATCTAATAATGTTGCACCAATAAATGAATTTCATAATAATAACAAGAGAAATAACACCAAGAACGACAACAACGACAACAACAACAACAATAATAATAATAAAAATAAAAATAATTATAAAAATAATAATTCTAGGGATAGTATTTATCAACATCCAATAATATATTCAATTGCACCATATTTACAAGGACATTGTGAAAATTCTGATACATTCGTGAAAGCCAATTCAAAAAGAATAGTTAAACAAGTAATTCATGCATGTGGTTTTATTGATTTAACTCAAGTTGTAAAAATTGAACCTTATACAAATGAAAATAATAGTGATAATAATAATAATGATGATGATGATGATTATCATCATCGTCGCCACGTGGAGAATGGAATTAAAGGGAAAGTAGGTCTTTTCGAGTTGATAATGGAAAACGGAACAACAACTATTTTACAGGTATTATTATTATTATTATTGTCAATCATTAGATTTATATATTTATATTTATTTTATGTTTATATATAATTATATTTATTATTATTATTATTATTATTAAATTGATAGGCATATTCTATTGAAACCATGAATGAATGGATCAAACGTTTGAATGAACTTATAAAATATTGGAAAGCTCGTGTTATGGATGATGCACAAATAAGAATTAATATGTTTAGAGTGAATAAAGATAATCAAGATGAAAATGAAGAAATTGCGAGTATAAGGAGTGATGGATTACATGAACATTTTAATAATTTTAAATCATTTGTTAATCCTATTGTATGGAATTGGTGTATTTTAGATGGATGTCGAATTTTGAAGGTTCATTTTTTATATTTATTATTACTATTTATTTATTTATTTTGATAATTTATTTAATATTTTAATAATTTCCTTCTTTTTTTTTATTTATAATTATTAGAAAAGTGGATTATTATATCATAAATCTCATTATTATAGTACATTCCAAAATTATTATCACATTCTAACTAGTGGATACTTAATTTTCTTTAACCTTTATCAAAGATCAATTTCTGGACGTTCCAACAAAAAACGTTATCATAAACGTAAAGGAATAATTAATTTATCCAATTGTTATGTTTATTCTGGAAATATAACCGAACATGATTTAATTCATACAAGTTCTGTAAGATATAATTCAATCGCTACTGGTGAACATAAATTACCTCGATTATATAATGATGGGATGTATTGTTTTGATGATGATGAAGAATGTACATTTGTTATTTGGGAAGGTAAAAAGAAAAATGTATTGAAATTTGATAAGAAAGGAAATGATAATGATGATAATAATAATAATAATAATAATAATAATATTGATGGTTGTGCTGGTAGTGTTCATCATGGTTTATTAAATGTAAACGTTCAAAAGAAGACAAAATTGGATCATTTAGGAAAATCTTGGATATTTAGAACTAGAAGTAGAATTGAAAGAGAGGAATGGGTATGGGCTATTAATGTTGAAATTGAAAAAATTTTTAATAACAATAATAATAATTAGTAAAAAAAAATATTAGAATGGATTTTATTATAGTAATAGATTTTTATTTAATGATAGTTTCAATTTCTTTCAAAATTAATATTTTAATTAATCAATTTTTAAAATTACAAGAATTATTTAATCATCATTTTAAAAATAAACATCTTGTCTGCCAAATCTTTTTTCATAATATTTTATTTTATTTTTGTTATGTTAATATTCTTTAATTTCTTTCCAATTTATATGCTATCATTAGATAAGATCAAAATTTGTTACTTGTTCTCAATATTTTATGATTAAATTTTTTTTTTGCAGATAATTATTGATTTATGAAAAAAAATAAGATTTAATATTTTATAAAATATTCAGTTATTATGGAATGGAATTAGACCTACTTAACATTTTGATAAAATTGATTTGAATACAAGAGTACAAAATTAATCCATAAACCTGAAGATTTAATGAATGTAATGGTTATTTTAACTTTTATTATAATGAAAATCGAGGTGACGACTTTTATTATAATGAAAATCGAGGTGACGTAAAATGTAAACTCCAACGTAACACAAACCCTCCAGTTTATCGTTTTTCTATGTCAAAAAAAAAAAGTTTGGATTTATAAGCTTCGATCCTGCCTGCATATTTTTTTTTTTTTTTTATTTCCAGATTTATTACACCATCTATACAATCTATACTATCTATACTATTTATACTATTTATACTCTTTTTATCCGGTGAGACCTCATATAAAAATAATTTTAATAATGATTTTCTTTGTACTCAAATAATCAGACATGTCTTTAAAGAATTTCAAATTTAACATCAATAATCTAAAACTTACACCTGAAAAATTAGCAGATTGGGGAAAAAATAATAATACCCAAAATGCTTTACCTTTTTCACAAGCTATTCGTAAAGGATCATCTACTACATCAATAAATTTTAATTCATTTAATTTAAAATTTCTTTCTCCTGCAAATAATAACAAAATCAATAAACATAATAAAAACAACGACGATGACAACAACATTAATAATAAAAACAATAATAATAATAAAAACAATAATATTAATATTAATAATATTAATGATTCACAAAGTTCACAAGGATTTATCGAGGCGAATGAAAAATTACAAATTTGTGCGACCATCGATTTATCCCCTACCAATCCTGATTTTGTAAATAGGGATAAAAATCCAATCGTAATCATGGATGACAATGTTATAGTGGATACATCAAATATGGAGGTAGATATGGGTACACCGCGGGATGATTTATTTGAAGGATTTGGTGATGAATTCAAAGATTCGGATTTTTTATTAGAATCAAATTTTAAAGGAGAAGAAAATTATGATATAGATGATGATGATATCGATACTATTGATCTTACAACAAGATGTACTAATAATAATATTCAAAAAGATGATGAAATTTTTATTCCGGAAAAAGATAATGAAAATATTAAAGAAAATCAAATGTCATTATCAAAGAATAATAATGATTCTTTCGATCCTTTAAAGAATAATTCAAATAATTCAAATAATTCAAATAATTCATCTGAAAAACTTTCTGATAAGTCGCATGACTTTAAAGAATCCTTGGCTATAGTCACCACCATTCCAAATAAAAGTCCAACTTTGGATAAATCTTTATGTAATGATCATAAAATTAATGAAATTAATGAAACCAATGAAATCAATGAAATCGATGAAATTAATACTAATGAAATTAATACTAATAAAATTAATAATAATAAAATTAATAATAATAATCATAAAATTAATAAAATTAGTGAAATTAATGTAGGAGACATTGATCACCATTTACCGAAAGAATATTCTAAAAATAAACAACAAATATTTTTTCATTTCCCTATTGTTTACAAATCAGAAATCCAAGAAAACAGTAAAATTATTCTAGAAATGAACGTAAATATTAATTTACTGACATTTTTAATTAATTTCATTACTATTTCTTGATTTATCATTCATCAACGTGATTAATTTTTCTCTCAATATACGTAATAGCGAACATTAGAAGAATTAGAATCATGTAAAGAATTTATATATATATATATATGAAATGATGTTACATTCATTATATAATACGTTTTTATATATGATTTATTTTATTAAATCAAAAAAAAAAATTGTAAATAGTAATGAAAAGAGAACAAGATTCCCAAGTTCAAATAAATCAAGAACTTGATTATATCGAAAGATCTTTGGAGTTATTTGATGATGATATAAAATTCATACAAAGTACGAAATAAATCATTTACATTTATTAAATTATTAAATTATTTAATTTTTTGATCTAATTAAAGCAAATAAAATTAAAAATTTATTTTTAGGCGAAACATGTAATTTGAAACAACAAATTACTATTGAAGTCATTAAGCAATTCGAAAAATATAAAATTACTGCATTAACGGAAATGACCAATGAGGAAATGAAGGCCATGGAAATGACAGATAAGGAAATGAAATGACAAACAAGGAAATGAATGGTAACGAAGAAATGATGAATAACGAAGAAATGATGAATAACGAAGAAATTAAAAAGTAGAATTCGTTAGAGAAATTGCCAAGAGACAGAAGATATTAAAAATCAGACCGCGACATAATAAATCTAAATTAGAAGATTCGAAATAATCATCTTCACCCAAAAAAATTAAGACCGTATTTAATAAACGTGAAAACAACAACACAAAAACATTACACGACAAAAATGAATATGCATAATAATAATGCAAGTAATTTGACAAATTCACAAATTTGGCCATCTCTTGGCTACTCATAATTAATACTTAAAGGACTGAAATATTTCTTTCGCCAGAAAAAAAAAAAATTTATATTCACTCAACTTTAAATCTTATCTTTCTCTCGTTATTTAAATCTTGTTACTCTCTCATAACTTAAAGAAAATAAATTTATCACAATAAAAATGAAATTATCAACTCTTCTCTGCTTAACCCTTTTGATCATTGGTATTATGACTTTGCCAGGTTTCTCTTGTAAGTATTATATTTATTTATTATTTATTCTATCCAGATGAATATATATATGTTTATATATCTTTTTTATTTACTTTATAACTTTGTATTATCAGACCCTTGTAATGAAATTGAAGAAAGAGGTGAACGAGGAGGAAGAAAAGGACAAGGTCAATTTATAAAGAGAAATGAATGCGACGGATTCTTCAAGAGAGATGGTGCGGCTGGTGGAGTTGCGAAAGGACCTGAACCTTCATCTTAAAGTCTATTACAACACACAAAAAAGAAAAAAACTAGCATCAATTATCTCTATTATTATTTTAAACATATTAATATATTAAATTTATATGTATTTTTATATTTAGTTATATTTTAGTATTAAATATTTATATTAATAATGTATTGTGAAAATTTTCTGATCATGTGACAATCAATAAATTCATAAATTCATCTGTTATAAATTTTTCTAAAACTTAATTTCTTTTCAATTAGCTCAGCTTATATATAAATAAATTTATAAATATATATTAAAAAAATGTCAGATACGGAAGATACGGAAGATTATATGTCATCCAAATTTCTTACAGAATCATCATCATCATCCCAAAAAATTCAAACTTATTCTGAGCGTCGTCGCAAAAAACTTGAAAAATCTAATATAGAAGGATATATTAAACCTCGTCATGAAATAGAAGAAGAAAAACGTATTCAAGGTCTTTCAAAAAGAATAGATAATGAAGATAATGAATCTCCTGGATTAAAATTATTAATAAAGATGGGTTATGAGAAAGGAAAATCTTTGGGAAAGGATCAGAACAATAATTCTGGATTAATAGAACCATTGGATATTGAAATAAAAAAAGGTGCAGAGCTTTATTGTAATGTCTTTGTTCTTTGGAGTAAATAATTAATAAATATATTGTAAATAATAATTCATTAAATAAATTGATAAATATAATTATTAAATTAAATTATTAAAATGAATTGTTTTAATAAATTATATATCCCATGTTATAATTTAGATAGATATGGTATAGGAATGTCTACTGAAATAAAACGAAAAGCACAAACTGAACTTATTAAAGCAGTAAAACGAGAAAAAATTGAAGAAGAAACCTTTATTCAACGCATGAGTCAAGAAAGTGTGAATAAACGAATAGAGCAACAATTAAATACTATTCGGAGAGTATGTGAAAATTTAGACAAAAAAAAGGTTATCTTTATGTTATAATTATATAATAATTTTATGGTAATTATTATAACAATAACAACAATAATAATGATAATAAATTTTTGTTTTTAATAGGGAATAGAGAATAATGTATTTTGGTTACATATAGAAAATGAAGAACAAGAAATTGAAGAGATTGAAAATGAAGAAGAAGAATTTGAAAAACTTGAAGTTAAAATCAATTTTGATTTTATTTCAAATTAAAATCATTAATTTATTATCTTATTTCAAATTTATATTGACCATAATATATGTTTGTAGACAAATGAAAAACTTGATATAATACTTACATATTTACGTAATCGATACCATTATTGTTTTTGGTGTGGATCGGATTATGATAGTGCGGAAGAATTATTAAGAGAATGTCCAGGAACTAAAGAAGAAGATCACGAATAAAGATTTATTTTTAATTATTTATTTATATATATAAATATTCAAGAGTATTATATGTTGTATGTATAGAGAAATTTATATGTTTTTAGAATTGATAATTGGTAATTTTTATCTATTTATTTATTTACTTATTTATTTATTATTTATTTATTTATTTTATTCTATTAATATTTCGGATTATCATTTCATTATATGGTATGGTGATATTCCTAAATCTACTAAAAATATTATTGAAATTTATTCAAATATTAAATATTTTTTTTTAAACGCAAGTATGCAAAAACAAAAAATTATTTCATTATGCCTCAAAAAAAAAACTCTGGTCCTTGCTCAGTACAAAATTGTAATCTTCAAATGTCCCACTTTTGTCAAATTACTTTATTAGCATATAAAAAATCTCAAAATAATGGATCATTTAAATTTTATCCTTATTTAAAAATTGGAGAACAGTTATGTCATATTCATTATTTGAGTATTGTTGAAACTGACCATTATCAAAAATCAAAACACAAGGTAAAATTAACAATTATAAAATTTAATACTATAATATAACATAATTAATTTTAATCTTTTATTTTATAGAACCAAAAAGTTATTCATTTATTGAACAAGTCAGTATACTTACGAAAGTTTTATATATGCAACGTGGGAATATTGAGCTTGATCCTATTCATTTTTAGCGAATGATTGTAGAATCTGATCCATGCTTACAAGGATTTTTTGATAAACTGAAAAAGGCATTGATTCCTGATAAGAGATCTTTATATAATACAATTGAGGCAAAAAAAACAATTTTAAGCCTATGTTACATAATGGCTAGAATACAAAACAAATTTTTCAATGATTTTAAATTAAAAATTGAACTGGAAATAATATAATTATATTATTTCTGGTTAGTCTAGATTATTCCAGGTCAGCTATGATGTGTGGATCACAAAACTCAAGTCACCTGAGTGATGGGTTGGTTACAAAACTCAAGTTACTTGAGTGATGGGTTGGTCATAAAACTCAAGTCACTTGAGTGATAGGTCAATCACAGAATTCAAGTTATTCAAGTGATGAGTTGATTACAAAACTCAAGTCATTTATTAACCACTTATATAAAATTTGTATATTGGCTTAATGTTTTCAATTGATTTTTTTTAGAATAAAATGATAAGCTAGATTATGATGATCAAGCATATGTGATAAGCCGATTGTCTTTTATATGTTTTTATATGTCATTTTTGAAGCAAATAGCCAGAGTATATGTTATTGGATATATTACATACACATTATCAGATATATTGTAAACATGTTATCAGACATATTACATATACATTATCTGATATGCTATATACAGGTTATCAAATATGTATGTGGCCTATATTATGTAATTATTATTAGTATGTTATTGGATATATTGCATATACTTTATTGTGTATGTTAACAAATCAATTTTGCTTATGTTTAAAGACATGTTATATCAAAATATGTTAAAATTTTTTGACTCAAGTTGTTACTAGTTATTACTAGTTGTTTATAAATACTTGTGACAGAACCTGTAATACTTTCTTAAAAGTTTTGGCCTATTTTATTTTTTTCTTGATTACTTTTTTATATCTGTCACTAGTTATTCTAGTTAAAAGAGTATATTTATAAAGAAAAACAAAACTCTTTCATATAGTATATCTACATTCAATACATACTCAATATATCCATTACATATTCATTATATATATATACACTCGATACATATATAATATATATACACTCAATACATATATGATATATATACACTTGATACTACCTTTGATATATACTATATATATATTATATATACCTACCTTTGATATATACCCAATATATATAGTATACCTACCTTTGATTATAGATGGTACCTTAATTAATTTTGCATTTGCCAAAAATAATTTTGGTTGCTGTAATTATTTTAGACTGCCATAATTATTTTTATATGATGAAATTAATTATAGATATTGTAATTAATATTGGTTATTATAAATATTATCAATA